ATCTTTTCCAATCTAAATGATTCTATGATTCTATTGACACATTGTGAGATTTCATCACTATGATAGCTTAAATATTTATCTGTGATTACATATTGCATGTGCTGTTAGTGCATGTTTGACAGCTATGGAATATTTGCAAGGAAAATGTAGCTGCTGTACCTGAATTCATAATGTTTAGGATTAAGTAAAAGACTTTACTGAAATGATAATTATCATTCAGTCCCTTAATATTGTGAGTCATACAATTTAATTTATTGTCATTATTCACAGGTCCAAATATTTTCCTTTTATATGTAATATATTTAAAAATACCAGTAAAATAGCAGTCATATATTCTGAGTGTATATTCTTGGTCATGTATTCTGCGCAATTATTTTTTCAGGTAGACATAGACGTTATCTTTTGTCTTGTGCTTTCCAACTCCCCGAAATAGTATAATCATAATCTACATTAAAGGCCTGAAGGCATTTTTCTAGTAACTGAATATTTCCAGAGCCTGTTGTCTAGTCCTGAGGCTTAATGAGATTGTCTGACCTATCGAAACTGTCGCTTTTCTTAGCCTCCAGAACATGTGTCTGCACTCTGACTATTGGGAATGATCTTTGGCCTGACGTCTCTCACAAATTGTGCTTGAGAACTGACAGAGTAGGAGTTGATAACAGTCGCAATTGTTCCAAAAACTAGTCTAACAGTTCAGCAGTATAGATCAATTTTTTTTCCCACTTCCAGAATTGATAAAATAAACTCATACTTAATTACTACTATAGACATAGCTATCATATCTTACAATTTTTACTTTCTACCATATTACTATATTTTAATACTCATATAGCTCCTATATAATATTGTTTGGTTCTTAGATATTTTTAGTAAGTCCAGGTTTTTTTTGTCTTTTTTTTTAACTATTTATTAGAATAAGGATCTACTTTATCATGAAAATAAACATTCTAGCATTAAAAAAAAATACAAACAAAAGACAAAAGTGAAACCATAGTGCTATGATCCTTTCAGAATACTTTGATACAAATTCAAAAGAAAACTGAGCCTTCCTTTAACATCTAGCTTGCTCCTGTGTTGATTCATTTTTCAGTTAAGTAGGACCTCTAGGAGTCTCCAATAATTTTGTTCCTTCTTTCTGTCCTCAACTATAGTTACAATAGACTGCAAAGTCAAGCAATCCTTGACTAATATGGTTCCTTAAGAACATCAAATCAGGCTAATGCTCTCTTTAACACAGTGCTGAGGCCAATTGGACCTAAATCAGCAGGAGTTGGCAAAAATGAATTTTCTTTTTAAGATTTATACTAGTTTCCGGGTCAATTATGTTTTTTAAATATGCATCAGAAATAAAATGAGTGTGATAACACAGACCCAGGGAGCAGCAAGCATGAGGTGTTCTGCAAGGGTTGGGTGCTGGCAGAGGAGAGTGACAGTGACCTCAGTGACAAGAGGCACCGTCCCACAGCACCCATGTGAAAAGTGCAAAGTGGGCCTGAGGATGGCAACCAAAGCCAGCCAACAGTCCAGTGGTTCCCAGGAAGGTCCACAGTGAGGAGACAGGTCTGGAGATCAAGCCAGTAAGTCAAATATTTGGGTCAGGGTCAAAGTGCAGGTAAGCAAGCTATAAGGTCTGGTACCTTACTAGCCCACTTGCAGCATAGACCAGGTGAGGACCAAAGATGAGAGCTTGAGCTTAAATGTAGCTCCTGAGCAAGGTGGGAGTATCCCAGCAAGCCTTCCTCACAGCTCCCTCTCAGCTCTATTCACAACAGTTTGATCCAAAGTCACAGCCCCATCCAATCAGATCTGACTTCAAGCGCAGGCAGATATTCCACAAAGTGTGCACGTGATGCGTGTGAAGGTGGCAAGAAGACACAATGCTTATAAACATTTTCTGGTTCATTCTCTTCTTTGATAGATTCTTTTTTTCTGAGTTAGAGTTAGATATCTTCTGTGGGTATTTCTCCAGTCTCACTTAAAGCATACCTTATTTTTGTCATTAGTATTTAATAATTCTTAATAGAAAGAAAACATAATCTTTAATATACTGTACTGGAATGTAAATAGTTTGAGTTACTTCTTTGCTTTTAAATTACTTTCCTGGGTTTCTGCATGAACCTTTCTACTTTAGTTCTCTTTTAGTACAAAATAGAGCATTGTGCTGCTTTTCACCCAGCCTTTTGTAACTTTAATAGTTACATTTTATTCAAGTATCTTACTGTGTGTCCATACAAGTCCCAGTCTTGGACTTTTCTTAGTCTTCATCAATTACATGGAAGCATCTGGGGTTATAGATAATGTTTTCTCCTAGCCTAAAGCAGACCTAAAATATAACATTTATCATAATCACTTTCAAATGTCATCTCATGACATAATTTTGTCTCCTGATACGGCATCAGTGTTTTGCAGATATTTCATTTCTTGGCTGATTTTCTAAGTCAAGTATGTTAATATTGTTACTATTTATTGCATAGCTCTCTACTTTTCTCTTTACTATATAACTTATTTTTCTTCTTGATTTTATTGTTAAATAAACAATCCTTGTTCTCTCTTGATAATTCTTTTCCATCTTCTTTTGTTTCTTCCACTGCTTTTACAAAATGTATTTGTTTACTTAACATTATTAATTCTAGTACTCCCGTAATAATCTTTCAGTTGCATGAAGACTGATAACAATTTTAGTGAAGACAGTGTCAACTGTTATAATATTACTGATTGCTTATTTTAAAGTTGTTCCAAAGTTTTATTCCGTACAAATATTGTGAGGAAGCACGTTTTATTTATCAGTAAAAATGAAGCCTGTATATCATTGCAGAACTATGCATAATTACATGAATGAAGGGCAAATTATACTATAAGAAGACAAGAATTCTTCTGCATTAGACATACAATAGCTTTCATTCTGAAGTGTCTAAAAAGAAAAATAACCTTTTATGAACATCTGTTTTAGTAACTCCTGAAAAAATGGGTTGCTGAATGTAGGACTTCTAAATATACAGTAATATAGAGCATAGACTTTTACACCTGGTAATAGTAATAGATGTAATAGCAGCTATAGTTGATATAATAGTTCAACACTGCTATCTTAAAAGAAAAAATGCTAAATGATCCAAACTACACATTTGATAGCACATTATCTAATGGTATCATTGAACATCATGAGATTCTGAAGATAATGGAATGGTCTCAAAATAGAAAGACTATGAGTATTCTCTAACAAGGCTAGTAGTTTTCTTGCAGATCCATGTCCTTTCTTTTTTACTATGGGGAATTAGCTCCCGGGAGTGGAAATACAGATAGAGAGGATTTAGAAATTAGCATACTTGCCTGACTCTGTAGCTAGGCGGTTAGAGTACTTGAACTGTTTGAAGACAGAATTAGGATTCAGTAATTAAATTAACCCAAAACCTATTCTTGGAAGAGGATCAAAATACGGTTTCTACCCCTTCTCAGTTTAATATTTTAAGCTTCAAGTCTGGTATTATTACTACTAGTTAATCACAGTTCACACCTTTCCAGTCTCTTCAAAGGCCTAAAGAGTGCTGGTTACTCTGCAGCACAAAGGTCATTAGGACAAGTTCATATGCACAGCAATTTACTAACAGGACATACGAAATTTTAGATGTTTTCATCCCAATTTAGGTGACAATAGAAAAGACTGAATATCACCCTTTGATATTATCCTACAATTTTCCACAGCTCACTCATTCATTTAATATTCTCTGGCTCAAGGTTTCCACAAACAGTATCTTTCTTTGATAGATCCTGCTTTGATCTTTCAGCATAGTCCAAAGCATGCTTCAAAATATTTTTGAAGTACATGGGGGAAGAGAAGGACATTTAATGAAATTATGTAATTAAAGCAGTATCATAATCCACATGTACTTTAGAGATAAACCAGGTGCATGTAGGTGTAGAAATACACACATCCACGTGTCATTCCATATGCTGTGTAAAAATAAAAACAATGTAAACAAATTTCAAAATATAAACATTACTGTTTATTTTTATTAAATTACTTCCCTTGTAAGATACAGTTTATTCTTTACAATAATTTTCTCAATTGTAAATGTCGGTTTAGAGGCCACTATCTTAAAGTGTGAGATAAATATACTGAGGGAAAAAAAGGCATTACGGAACTAAACGAGAGGAAAAACCATTACATTTAAGGCAAGCTAAACTGTTCCTAACTCAAAGCTAGTGACAATTTCTCAGATATCAAACATTGCATTGTGTTTTCATCATTTTCTGTATGACTCCAAGAATAAACTTCATAATCTTATTTTGCTTTTCTTTCTGTTCTGTAATTGCTCATTGCCAGATATATTGAATAGCCAAAAAAATCTTTTCTATAAATTAAATCATCCTGGAGTACTCCATAGTCTGCTGGCTTTGACTATGATACATCAAAAACATCAAGCATATGATTAAGGTACTTTGGTTTTCAGATATGTATTTTGAAAACTAAGGATTTAATTAAGTGTTTTGCTGAGTGTATGTGAACATAAAAAAGTTGAGGGTGTGCTTGTGTATTTCTTCATTGAAGGCATAATTCACATGCCTACATCTTCAGAATATCTACTTTTATCATAAATTAATGGTAAATCATTATCAGGAAAATATCTATGGTTAAAGCTCATGACTAGAGCTTAGATGTTCTGGTTTACTTAGTTTTGCCACAGATGTTTTATCTTAACTTGATTATCATTAGTTTTTATCAACAGAGAGAGAGAATATGGAAAATAGGTTTTTAAGCTCTTTCTCTTCCACACACAAGTACAATGAAATGT